GAAGGAAGGAAGGAAGGAAGGAAGGAAGGAAGGAAGGGAAGGAGGGACAGAGGGAAGGAGGAAGGAAGGAAATCTATACTATCTTTATGTGTTTACTGACCAGCTTTTTCCTTGTGCATTCATGTCAAAGTCATCATATATGAAATATTGACTCCTAGATGGCCAGAAATATACCAATAAATGATTTTCAAAGTATGTATACTCATATAAGTGAGCTAAATTATAACTATATTTTACATTTCTATGGTGCTTTATAATTTTAAAGTGCTTTCGAAACCTAGCATCTCATCCCTATAATAACTGTAAGAGGTTAATTAATAAAATATAATTAGCACTATTTTAAAGTCAAATTACAGTTAAATAAATGCTATTTTATCATCATCTCTACATATCTAAGCTCCTTGTTCAAGGTCATACATAGTAAATGTCAGAATCTTGACTCAATCACAAGTTTTCAGTTTCAAGTAAAATTATTTTCCAATATTATCATATCGTGTAAATGATTGTTAAATAAAAGGCTTTGGTGCAGGAAGTGGGGGGGGCGTTGGTCTAGATATGTGATTTTAATGGTATAGGAAACTTCTAAAGAGGAAACTCACTACCAACCTAGTTTTAGAAAGTTACTGGGGGAAGTGATAGCCTAAATGATTGACCATAGTCACACAACTAATAAATAGGACTAGAATCCATATCTTCCTGATTTTGAGACCCATGCTTCATCTTCTATGTAGCACTGCCTCAAAAGTAAACTATTAATGTGAGGACCTTCAAATACATTACTTTGTGACAAGGACCTTCCACAAAAAAAAAATATTTTTGATTATACTTCCAAATATAAAACAGAATCAGAAACCCAGACACATTCATGGAAATCAGATCACATTTAATACAGGCTGTAGCTGAACCAACATTCTATTTAAAACATCCAGAACAAGTCATTATTCAGCTTTCATGGAAGGATATACAGTGATGAAAAATAAATCATATCCCAAAGCAGCTCATTCCACATTGGGATAGTTCTAATTCTTTGTGAACCAAAAACTTCCTCTCTGCCACTGCCCATTGATTAGCTAGATCAAGCCTATGAGTATCAGTAATGTAGTTCACATGGGCCTGTCATATTTGGGGGAGCATAGGGTATCAGAGAAAGTTAGGATCAAATGAGCTACTCAAGTGAATGGCAAATTATGCTTACATAACTGCCAGATGTACCTAATATGTAGAACTTCATTCTGAAGAATTAAATTAAATGGTGTGCCATACCTCATCTAACTTTATTTCTTTGCGCTCTAATTTTAAACATGGTAAAAAAAAATATTGCTGATCACTACCTTGTTCCTCTAAAGATTGCAGCCTTATGTGTAAAGGATCAGTAAGTAGACAACTTATCTTTGTAAGGGAATTCTTAAGACTGATAAGCTAAATTCTTTTGTTCACATATATTTAAAATGACAGCAAGTGTGTGCCCCCTGTACAGGAGTTTTCAAGTAAGGTGTGGGTGTTTGTAATAGTTAGCTCATAAAGAAATAGACATGCACTTATATGTGTGTATATAAACACATATATGTATATGAATATTTTTGTATAATGAAAGATTAAATGACTGAAGAAACAAAGGTTTAAGCTTCCAAGCATATAGATTTTTTTAAAGCTATATTTTTATTTATATTTTTATTTTTAACATGTGTTTTTAAAACTTTGGATTACAAATTTTCTCCCTTCCTCCCTCCCCACCCACCCTCATTGAAAAGGCAAGTATCTTGATACAGGTTATGGATGTGTAGTCATGCAAAACACCTCCATAGTAGTCCTGTTGTGAAAAACCACCTATATTTCCCTTCATT